TGCTGTTTAAATTATAATTATAATATATACCCTGAAATATATTTTAAGGAAAACCTTTCAAAATATTTTAATAAGCTACGATAACATTAATCCTAAGACTTTGTTGCCACATAAAATGTCTAAATACAAATTGTCTTTATAATTTACTTTTAAATTTATTATTATAACAATTTTAATATATAAAAACCAGGCTCTGTAACATCCAAAACAACCGAAGGCCCAACTGTACACAGGAAGTCAGTCCTGCAGTCACTGCTGGGTTGCTGTGGCAACCAAGGAATGACTGCTGCCGGTACTGGTGTGGCAACCCAGCACTGACTGCCAAGGGGGCTGTGCATCAGACCCAGAGAGAGGCCCGAAGAGAGGCCAGGTCTGATCAGCAGCCTCCATAGCAGCTCTTGATCAGTCTTTGCCTCTTTCTTTTTCTCTGGGCTTTGACAGCAGCCACACCTCTGTTTCTCTCTGAGCCTCTGTGGGGGCTGTTGATCAGCCCTGCTTCTGTGATCAGGCCCAGAGACACTTATTGATAAAAGCTGAGATTTTGACTCTGACTGGCATAGAAACCGACCAATCAGAACAAAATCTGGGTGAACTTTTGACACTGACATAGAAACTGACCAATCAGAATCAAATTGGCTAGCAAGGGAAGGAAGTTGGGGATAAGATCAGGCCTTCAGGGGAGGATGGTTAGGGGTGATCAGGCAGGTAGAGGCTGTTAGGGGCGAGATCAGGCTGGCAGGGGAAGGCAGTTGGGGGCAAGTTCAGACCAGCAGGTGAGATCAGTTAGGGCAATCAAGCAGGCAGGCAGAGGGTTTAGGGGCAATCACACAGGCAGGCAGAGGCAGTTAGGTGCAGGCAGGCAGGCAGGTAGGCAGGTGAACGGTTAGGAGCCAGGATCCCTTTGGGATAGGGCCTAAACCAGCAGTCAGACATGCCCCAAGGGGTCCCCGATTGGAGACAGTGCAGGCTGGGCTGATGGAATGGGCCCCCCTTCATGCATGAATTTTGTGCACCGGGCCAGAGTATCATGTATGACATCGTGTTATTTTATGATATCATTATTGACAGATGACTTAATTATCTATAAAAACTACTCAAAAGAATCCTTTTAAAATTATTAGATTTAATAAAGAGATCAATGATGGGAAAAAGGGGATGTGTAATATTTTCAACAATAAAAATATTTTTTAAAGATTTTAAAAATTAATGATTCTTTCAGGTACATTTGTTAATATCTCACTTGTCAGTCTTTACTTTCCAACTGAATTTAAAGCCTCATATATCTTCTGAGAAAATAGAAGAAACTAATTAAGTATATGATGTTTGCAGTAGTTCCAAAGCAGACGAACCTATTGTTTTGGGAAGAACTTTTCTCCCTCAAATTCATATAATTAGCCATTGGTCTTTAAGTGGTGGCTAAATTTAGGTTTTCATTCTTTTGTTTATGACTGTAATGTGAACTTTTAAAAATTCTGAGTTTTATAAAATTTTATTAATTTAAAAATAAAGTATAGCAAGGTTGCTAGATACAAAGTTAAATAAAAAATTATTTATCACCGAAACCTGTTTGGCTCAGTGGTAGAGCGTTGGTCTGAGGACTGAAAGGTCCCAGGTTCGATTATGGTCAGGAGCATTTGCGTTGGTTGCGGGCACATCCCCGGTAGGGAGTGTGCAGGAGGCAGCTGGTCGATGTTTCTCTCTCATCGATGATTCTAGCTTTCTATCTCTCTCCCTTCCTCTCTGTAAAAAATCAATGAAATATATTTTAAAATATGTTTTTAAAAAATTATTTATCAATCAACAGAAAATATGAATATGTAACAAGAATTTAATCAGGTATATTCAATAACTTTGTGGTAAAAACACATTTTTTTGAAAGACCAAAATAAATATGGATATATAACGTGTTCATAGATTGTTAGAGTCAATATTGGAAATATGCCAATTCTCCCCAAACTGTCTCTAAGTTTGATCTAATTACATTAAAAAGTCCAACTGTGTGTATGTGTGTGTGTGTGTGTGTGTGTGTGAGAGAGAGAGAGAGAGAGAGAGAGAGAGAGAAAACTTCATAAGAAAGTTCTAATACATATATATATATGTATTAGAACTTTCTTATGAAGTTTTCTCTCTCTCTCTCTCTCTCTAACACATCAGAAAAGGGCCTAGACATTCCTGAAGATAAATTAAAGGCTATGTATGTGTTTGTGTGTTGGGAGGGCTCTTTATAGCATTTTTTGGTAGTTATTTTATTAGTATAATGTTATAGACTTAAAATAGTCCATATATATAAAAACCAGCACCTGGAATCCTATGACTGGTCGTTATAATGCCCACTGCAGCTAGCAAACTAGCCTGATTGTGGGTGGGCTGGTGGCCAACCTTCCTTGGCTCCTTTCCCCCTGCCAGCCCCACCCCCAATCGCCCTCTCTACCCCAATAGGGCCTGTCCCGAATGGGCCCCCACCACTGCAATTAGCCCACAGCACCTCCCCCTGCCCAGCCCCACCCCACATTGGCCCCCCACCCAGATTAGTGGCAGGTCAGCCAGCCAACTACTGTTGCACCTCTCTCTGGCCAGCCCCACTCCAGATGGGCCCCCACCATCCTCATTGGCCCAGGGCCGCTACCCCCACCCAGCTCTGCCCCTGATTGCCCCCACACACAAACCAATAGGGAATGGGACCAGCCAGCTTATGGCCTACGGACCCTCCCCCTGGCTACTGGCTCTTGATTGGCCACCCCCACTCCATTCAAGGGTGAGGCCAGCTGTTCCACCACCCTCAGCCCCCCACCATGGCCAGTCCCACCCCCAATCAGCCACCACCACCCCAATCAACCTGTGATCCCTCCCCCCAGCTGGCCCCACCTCCTGATTGCCCCCCACACCAATTGGGGACAGGACCCACCAGCCAATCACCCGTGGCCCCTCCCCACCAGCCAGCCCAGTCCTGATTGGGCCCTGATCAAGACTGGCTGGCTGGCCAACCCTCCCCTGTCTTCTTCCAACAGTCCTGGCCCTGATCTATCCTAATTGGGGCCAGACCAGCTAGACCCCAACCTGTGCATGAATTTATGCCCTGGGCCTTTAGTATAATAATAATTGAAAAGGGGCACAATTGGTTATTTATGTAGAGAGAAAGGTAAAATGCCTCTTGTCATGAAAAAAAATTATTCTAGTTGGATTAAGAAACTTAAATATTAAAGATAATCTATCTGACTTTGAGAAAATGACACAGGAGATCATTTAGATAAGAACAAAATCACTAAGTATGAGATAAAAGACTAATTAATTTGAAGCATTAGTTTGAAAAATCACTAAGTATGAGAAGGACTTCTCATTCGTAAACAAATACCATGAAGAAAATTTTTTATACTTTGTAAATTTTTTATACTTTTTTATAAAAGAGATTTTTTATACTTTGTTCATATTTGATAACCTGTCTTTAGCAAATATTTATTCAATATTTACTAAAACAGTTTTCAAGAAAACTTGTTATGTTGTTGAATGAAGGTAAGGGGAAATAGTCACTTTCAGGTATTGCTTATTCTATGTAGTAAAGAGGTAATATGCAAATTGACCATCACACCCTTGCACAAGATAGTCACAGTCACCCCCATGTCGTCACAAGATGACTGGCAGGGGAGGGCAGTAGGGGGCGACCAGGCTGGCAGGGGAGGGAGGGCAGTTGAGGAGGACCAGGCCTGCAGGGGAGGATATTTAGGGGCAAGTAGGCCAGCAGTGGAGGGCATTTAGGGGTTACTTGGCAGGCAGGGGAGGGCAGTTGGGTGTGACCAAGCCTGCAGGGGAGAGCAGTTGTGGGAGACCAGGCTGGCAGGAGAGGGGATTTAAAGGCGACCAGTCAGGCAGGGGAGGGCACTTAGGAGTGACTAGGCGATCCAGGGAGGACCAGGCCAGCAGGGGAGGGCTGTAGTTGGGGTGAGCAGGCCAGCAGGAAAGTGCTATTGTGGGGGACCAGGCCAGCAGGGGAAGGCAGTTAGGGGGTGACAGAGCCTGCAGGGGTGGGCAGTTAGGGGCAATCGGGCCATCAGGGGAGGGCAGTTAGGAGTGACAGTGCCTGCTGGGATGGGAGTTAGGTTTGACTGGGCCAGCAAGGGAAGACAGTTGGGGGCAATTCGGCTGGCAGGGGTACAGTTAGTCATCAATTAGGTTGTCAGGGGAGTGGTTATGGTGTGGTCAGGCTAGCAGGCATAAACAGTTAGAGACAGTCAGGCATATATGCAGGTGAGTGGTTGGGAGCCAGCAGTCCCAGATTTTGAGAGGGATGTCCGACTGCCCATTTAGTCCTGATCACTGTGGGCAGTCGAACATCCCTTGTGAGGTCCCAGATTAGAGAGGGTGAAGGCTGGGCTGAGGGACACCTCCCCTCCAGTGCACAAATTTGGCCTCTAGTGAGAATATAAATTGATATAACCTGAAGGAGCAACTTGATATTATAGGCCCAGTGCATGGATTCATGCTCCAGTAGGGTCCCTCCATGTGTCCTGCGGGGATCAGGTCCAAACCTAAAGTCCAACATCCCTGAGGGATGTATTAGTGTGTGAAGTGGCCGACGGCCTGGGAGGAGCCCAGGCCCAGGCCAGGCACTGCTCCCACTCATCCCAGCCCCATTGTGCCTGCCACTTCTGCTGCTCTCTGCTCAGTAGGCTCGCTGACAGTTCTCAGAAAGAATGAGACAAAGCTATACTTATTGTTGTAGAATTATCTCTGTAAAATATACAGAGTATTGTGTATAGTAGTATGTTGACTTGTGTGGCAGTGGTGATGGGTGGTCAAGTTTACATGTACTGTAAGTATGTGTGCGTGACTGGAGCACAGGGATGGGAGAGTCTTAGCTTTTAATTTATATATTATAATATTTTTACATTCCTACTAGTGTTCAAAACAATGAATACTGTTTTGAAAGATAAAATATTCTTTACTTTTTCCTATCTTTGTTGTTGTTCATAGTAATTACTCATTTTTTAAATATGTCATTATAGGTATCCATCATACTTGGCACCTGAGGTAATTGCACAAGGAATTTCCAAAACCACTGATCATGTGCCAAGTGAAAAACCATTGCCCTCTGGCCCCAAATCAGATGTATGGTCTCTAGGAATCATTTTATTTGAGCTTTGTGTGGTAGGTATAAAAATATTAAATAACAATTTAAAAATTGTGTTTTTTAGAGAAAATTTTTTAATAGGAAAACTATTTGGTAATATCTTTTTCTTTGCCAATTGACTAGATATGAAGAGAAATGTCTTAATTCTCAATTTGACTTTTAACAAAATCCTGTTTGACAATTAATTTGCCTTTTATCTTGGTAGCTCTAGAAATGTTTACACTGTTACTACTTGTAAGTTTTACTAACTGTTAATGCCATTTTGTTATTTCTTTTACCCTTGTATTAAGAAAAAAAAAAATTACACTATACAAAGTTTAAAAACTAAACATTGTATAAATGTTTATACTAAAACTGTTAACATTCTTTGATATGTTCATGCTCTCGCCCTTCTGTGGTAGTCCTTCTTTTTTTAGATACCTCCTCTTCTCGTGTTCTCTTATGTTTCCTATAAGACTCACTTTATATGTTGGCTTTTTATGAGGCCTTTCCCAGATATCCTCTGTATTTATTAAGGTAAATAATAAACTGCTATAAAAACAAAGGAGCTAAAAATGCAGTAGTTTAAAGAATGTAGATGTTTTTCTCCCTCGTGTAATAGTCTATTGAGGGTAGGTTGGGCTTTATTCTACAACTGGAGGCCCAATGCATGAAAATGTGTGCAAGAGTAGGCCTTCCTTCCCCCCGCCGCTGGCACCGGCTTGCCTCCAGCACCTGGGACAAAGGCTGCTTCCCTCCTCTGGCTGCCCACAGGCACTCAGGACCTGGCCTGGCCTTCCCTGGGCCACCCGCAGGCACCCAGGACCTGGGCTGGCTTCCCTCCAGACCCAGCTTCATCAGAAAAGATGTCCGGAATGAAATGATGTCAGGAAGACAGCTGGTCTAATTAGCATATTACCCTTAAATTATAGGTGTCATGCAGAAACCAAGGCTATCAAGAATGGCTCCAGCATCTAGTTTCCAAAGTTCTCTCTATATCACATTTTTTTAAAGCCATGAGGAAAGAGGAGAAAAGTGATTTCATGGTAACAATTTAAGGATGTGATCTACTAGTAAAAGTTGCAATGATCAACTCGACTTTTCACTAGTGATAATTTTCACATGTTGCTACACATAGGTATAAGGGAGACTAGGACATGTTGTCTTCAACTGGACACATAAATATTGAGAAAGTAGTTGAAAATGGATTTGGAGGAGCAACTAGCAATCTCTCAATTCTACCTTCACATATCTGCCAGCCTTTGTTTACTGGAGAGCATGAACATATCATTATAGGTATCCATCATACTTGGCACCTGAGCAATCTTCTTTGCTTTCCTCTTCTATTTTGGCATTTATCAAATTTGTCTACTTTACTTTGACTACGAGGTTATTTGATGCAGAAATTTTCATTATTTATATATTATAGATGTCTTCCAAGGAACTTTCAAAATATTTTGAAAAATTAAGTCACTAATATTTATCGTATTTAAGAATTAGGCCCTAACAGTGGATAGAGCATTGGCTTGGGGACTGAAGGGTTGCAGATTCAATTCCGGTCAGGGGCATGTACCTTTGTTGCCGGCACATCCCCAGTAGGGAGTATGCAGGAGGCAGCTGATGGATGATTCTCTCTCATTGATGTCTCTAACTCTCTATCCCTCTTCCTTCCTCTCTGTAAAAACCAATAAAATATATTTTTTAAAAAGAATTAGTTTGACATTTTTCTTTAATGTATTTAAGAATTAATTTAAAGCAGAGGTAATAAAGCATAATAGTTAAGAGGTAAGCTTCTGTAGTCAGAGAAAACTGATGCTACAAAGAATAGCTGTGTGAGTTAGGGTAGCTAACTAACTTTTCAAAGCCTCGATTCCACTTCTATAAATAACAATAGTGTCTGTACTGTAAAGTTGTTAGAAAAATAAAATGAAATAATGTATATAAAGTACTTAGTACAGGGTGTTACATACTGAACAGTCCATAAATGTTAGCTTTTATTACTATTAACTAGAGGCCTGGTGCACAAAATTCATGTACAGGGGATAGAGTTCCTTCTGCCCAGCCTGCACCCTCTTCAATCCAGGACCGCTCAGTGGATGTCCGACTGCCTCTTGTAATCCAAGAGTGCTGCCTCCAACCGCTCGCCTGCCTTCCTACCTGCCTGATCGCCTGTAACCCCTCTGCCTGTCTGCCTGATCTTCCCTAACCATCTCCGCCTGCCTGATGGTTCCTAACCACTTCTGCCTGCCTGCCTGATCACCCCTAACTACTCCCTGCTGGCCTAATCACCCCTAACTGCCTCTGCCTTGCCCTACATCCAGGACCCAGGATTCTCTACTCTGGCTGGTTCCAGGCAACCAGGCTCAGACCAGCTTCACCTGGGCTGACCACAGCCAAAGGGACCATGGGCAGGTGACTTTGTCCAAGTCGCAGCTACAGGCACTGGTGCCCAGGACCGCAGGGCGGTTTGTCCCTCTCCTGGGCCACAGCCACAGGTGCAGGCACCCAGGACTGCTCAGTGGATGGTTTGTCCCTCTCCTGAGCCACAGGCACAGCAGCTAGTGCCCAGGACCACGGGGCATGCAATTATCCCTCTCCCGGGCCATAGGCCTAGCTTCAGCCATAGGTGCTGGCATCTGGAACCATGGGGCATGCTGCTTGTCCCTCTCCCAGGCTGAAGCCTGGCTAGTCCCCATTACTCTCTCGTCAGCCCATTTGTGCCTGGCTGGTCCTCATTCCTCTCTCCAGTGTTGAGTGTCTAAGCCTTTATGGTGTGAGGACATGATGGCCATTTGCATTTTAGCTCTTTATTGTATAGGATTATGCATATTATTTTAGCTGGGGTGGTTTATTTATTTGAGCTTAGTCCTGTGCAGTGAAAGATTGCTGGTTCGACTCCTGGTCAGGGTACATACCTATGTTATAAGTTCAATACCAGGTTGGGGCATATATGGAGGCAACTGATCAATGTCTGTCTGTCTTTCTCTCTCTATCTATCTATCTCTATCTCTATCTCTATCTCTATCTCTATCTCTATCTCTATCTCTATCTCTCTCTTCCCTCCCAACCCCCTCATTTCCTCTCTAAGCATGTCCTCAAATGAGGATTAAATAATAATAGTAATAAAAGTTACATTTGTTATTTACATATTGGCAGTTCTTTCTCTAAGGGAAAATGTCAGATTTTCTGATTCTTTGCTATCCTTTGTTTAGACCATCTTACTTTTTTTATTGGTATAAAATAATAATAAATCTTATTGTTTAAAATCATAGATAAATTAAAAAAATTATTTTGGAATATGAAAGTAAAGTATAATAAATGTAAAATATACAGTTTTTTTTCTTTTTATTACCATTAATTATATCTAAACTCTTTCTTATGATCTGGGCATGTCTTATATGAATATTTCAATTTAAAAAACGTTAAAGAGTATTTACTGTATGTATATGTTGTATATATAGCATCATGACAAATGCAACAAGGAATAAACTGTGATTAAGACACATTGTGAAGGAGCTTATAATTTAATTTAAATCCATAAACTTTGAAGATAAACTCAGAGAGCTGTGTGAATACCAAGAAAGGAAATATTAACTGTATAAGTTTATACTGTTTAAGGATGGCAAACTGAACATGAGTTTAAATCTTCCTCTGCCTCATCAAACAAATACTAAGGTATAAATTAACAACATACCAACAGCTAACAAAGGCAACTTTGGTTATACTAGAAATTCTAGGGAAATAGATGAGAAGCTATACCAAGACCATTTTGCTAGGAATCTCTGGCCAAATCACCAGAAAGTTACTATAGCCTCTTTGCCACCCAGAAAGTTCCATAATCTACATGATGTATAGAATCCTATATTAAAACATGGTATATATCTAAGAAATACCAAACATCTATAGGAGACCTCTACAAACAATAAAAACAAAAACAAAAACAAAAACAAGAATTTACACTATTGATTGTTAAAGAGAGTGGAAGGGAGAGGGAGAGACAGAGAGAGACATCAATTGTTTTCCTCCCACATACACCCAGACTGCAGTGGGATCAAGCCTGCATAAGTTTAAAATCGAACCTGGATCCTTCAGTTTTAGGGCCAACTTTCTATCCATTGAGCTAAATTGGCTAGTGCTACATTTCTAATTTTATAAGATTTGAGAAATTTTTTTCTTTTCTTTTTAAATCAGAGTCTGATCTTCTCTATATAAATGCCATGCTATCTCCTCTTAAGCTTTCTTATTCTAAGTTTATTTTAAGGGACATATAAGTTTTAATTTGTTTATAATAAGAGAAACATAATACTAAACATTTTGTGCTATGTGCAAAAAATGCTATGTATTTTTATACATATGTAAATAACCCTTACTGTAAATATTCAGTTTTAATAGATGAGAAAAGTGAGACTTAGCTGGTTAAGCAATTTGTCTAAGTTGTGTAACTGGTAGTAGAATATCAAATTTGGCACACAATTCTAGTGTAGTTGTTCAGCATATAGTCACTGAAGTTATAAGTGTTTGATTCCAGAGTGCACTCCAAGTAGCCCCCTGAAGCCAATAAAGAAAATTAAAGCCTGGCCAGTGTGCCTTCCCAATCAGGACACATGCCTAGGTTGCAGGCTTGATCCCTAGTGTGGGGCATGCAGGAGGTAGCCAATCAATGATTCTCTGGCATCATTGGTGTTTTTGTCTCTCTCTCTCTCCCTTCTTCTCTGAATTCAATAATATATATATATATGTATGTATATGTATATGTATATATATATATTAAAGAGTTTATGTGTCTTAAAATAAATGTATGTGTATTAAAATAAATATAATGTATGTGTCTTAAAATAAATATACCAGATTATCTGTGTGTACAAAGGATGGCTAAGTTATTGTGGGAAAAGAGAGTGTCATAGAATGTGTCTTATTAGAGATAACAGATTGCCTGGATCAGAATATGTAAGGAAGAATTTAGTTGGGTAATCTGAATCTTTCTTAGGATTCAGATGTATTCTTAATAACATTCTTGGTAGCCTGGAATCCATTCAAGTATGTATGGTCTCAAAAGTGAACAGTGCTTGAGATCAAACTAAAATGTTTAAGTGTTAAATATTATGTAATATTTAAAAAATCATTACCTAACCAATATTTTTTCTTTAATGGAACTAACTTTAAAAATCTAATAAAACTCTGAAGAGAAATAGAAGTACCTGATAAAATTATTTTCAGCTCTGAAAAAAAACACCTCCTAAGAAAAAACATGCAAATGTTTACATAAATTCTTTTCCCATTTTATTTAGGGAAGAAAATTATTTCAGAGTTTGGATGTTTCTGAAAGACTAAAATTTTTGCTTACATTGGGTAAGTGTCTTGCAGTTATCTTTCAAATATAAATATAATCTTTACTGAGTGTTAGTAATCAAATACACTGAAATATCCTAACTTTCTTTAATTTTCTAATGATCAGTGGTAAGCGTTAACAGGACAATTTAAGAAGTGCCATCTGATGAATTATAGTACAGCTTTCCTTATTTACTGAGGAATTATGCTGTGGATGGATGTAAAATTAACCTTATGATCTAGCCCAGTAAACTAACATGTGAAATCAAAACGTGAGAATGTAAAATTATATTTTTCTCTAGCAGTTTGCTTTGACATATATCAACTTTGGAGCTTTCTATTTGATGATTCATATGTGAATTAATCAAGAATAATGTTTATTTTTTCTTATAACAAGTTCATATATTTTACATGTATATTAGATATAAATATTTGCAATTCAAATTTATAAAAATGTAATCTACTTTAGAGTGGAATAAATTAAGCATGTACAGTAAAAAAGAAGAGAAAAGATTGATAGAGCACTTTATGTAAAAGAGTAATAGATTGGTATACAGGTTAATAGAGTGTACAAATAATGTGTACAGAATATTAATAAATATTAATAATAATGAATTATAAATAAAATTTCATAAAATTTTACCATATTTATCACATTTAGTTTTAAAGAATGATAATATAGCTGTTAAGAGTCAGGGAGATTTCTAAATGTCATCTACAGACCAAACTTTAAGTCCTCAGAGGAATGTATACATTCTCCAAATTGTATATAATAAAAATAAGTTATATAATCATGAAAAGATAATAAAACCATTTAAAGTACACACCTATAGTGAAAAAAACATGAACAAGAATATTTATCTCCTTTGATCACTGTTTTATTTCACTACAATTAGGCGGCTTCATTTCATATCTATGATTCAATTAAAATTTAGTGTTTGAAGTCTTTATTTTTATCACTATACCTAAGGAAAGTTTAAAAAGTCACAAATTTGAATATTCCAGGTTTCATAACAGCATTACTCAATATTTTTTAAAAGTATCAGAGCTCAGTACTCAGTATGTCTGATAAATTAGAATAGCAGCATTCATTCTTATAATTTTTCTGTTTTATAGACTGTGTGGATGACACTATAACAGTTCTGGCTGAAGAACATGGTTGCCTGGACATTATAAAGGTTTGTGATTTAATCTGTTATTGAAAATTTGTTCATTTTGCATATTTAGGATCCAATAGCAAGCTATTTTAAAGCTGTGTTTATTTGGGAAAAGTCCAAATAAAGACTTTTTAAAAAATCAAAACACAATGCAATATGAAAATGATGTATCATAAAGGTGTACACTTGAAATCTATATTATCTTATTAACCAATGTCACCCCAATAAATTTAATAAAAAATAAAAAATAATAAAGATGAAAGAAGAAGCATTTGAGTTTGTCAGGTAAACACAAATCTTTGGAACAAAAATAAATAAACCAAAATATCCTTCATTAGCAAACATTTGGGTAAAATTTATTTTTAATGTATTTTTTGTTAATGGTATTATATGTATCTCTCATTTCCACCCTCTAGGGCCCCTCTCCTAAAATTTATTTTTAAAATTGATCATTTTTCATAGTTTTGTTTTTTTTTCTCTTGATTTCCCAGGAGCTTCCTGAAAATGTGATAGATCTTTTGAAGAAATGTCTCACCTTCCACCCTTCCAAGAGGTTGATATTAAGAGTTTGGGATTACACAGATCTTTAACATATAAGTAGTTAATTTTTTTCTTAATGGTTCTAATGCCAATGTATTTAATAAGTATATTTATATACGGTATGTAGTAATAACTGTTAGTAATGGCTTTAATATATGTTAATAAAAGAAGAAAAAATAATTAAGCTATGGTCAAAAAACTGGAATATACAAAAAGAAGATACTGGTTCATTTCCTAGGCTCCAGTATAAAAAATAACAAATAAAAAAACAGCTAAACTGTGAGATATACATATTCCTCAATTGAAATGATAGGAGAGAAATGAGAACAAAAGTTTATTGGCAGTGTACTATATATTATAGCAAAAGACTTGGATAAATGGTGAAGTAAGCTAACAACTGTTGATTACATAAAAGGATTTCTTAGAAGTTGTATTATTTATTTTCATTTGATGATGTCACTGTTAGCCATACAGTTATCCCTAAACTCCCTCAGGTATATAATATTTAAAAATAATAATAATGTATTCTAATTTGCCTTTAGACAAACATTTTTGTTAAGGGATATTAGGAAGAAAGTAATGATATTAGAAACATAATTTTGGGTAAATATGCCATATTAAACTAAGGGTAGGAAGAAACTAAGAGGTATTGTTAGTGTACAATTTTATTATTTAACTAGAGGCCCGATGCACAATGATTCCTGCAAGAATGGGCCTTCCTTCCTCTGGCTGTTGGCACCGCCTTTGCTCTGGCTAGAGCCACCTTTCTGCCTTCCCACGCTGCCCAGAGGCCTGGAGAAGCTGGGACAGTGTGGAACACTTGTCCTGCCCCTGGCCGGTTGGCACCTAAGTATGAAATTAACCCACCATCTTTGTTGGGTTAATTTGCATACTTCTGATTGGCTGGTGGGCTTTGTGAAGGTACAGTCAATTTGCATCGTTCTCTTTTATTAGTGTAGATATATTCAGTAAAGCAGATACCTGGTAATCAAGCTAAAATTGGGACACTCGTAATAATTTTGGTAGATCACAAGATGTAAAAAGTATAACAAAGGTAAAAAATTCAGCATATACTACCTATAGTCACTTGATTGTTTTATACTAGATTATATACTAGAGGCCTAATGCATGAACTTCGTGCACTTGTGGGGAGGTCCCTCAGCTCAGCCTATGCCTTCTCACATTCTAGGAACCCTCAGCTTAGGCCCATTCTACACAGGGAGCAGGCCTAATCCATCAGTCAGATATCCTTAGCACTGCCACAGAGGCGGGAGAGACTCCCGCCACCACTGCCGAGCTCACCAGCCAAGAGCCTGGCTTCTGGTTAAGCAGTGCTCCCTCTGTGGGAGTGCACTAATCATCAGGGGGAAGCTCATGCATTGAGTGTCTGCCCTCTAATGGTTGGTGCTAGTCATAGTGACCAGTCATTCTGCTATTTGATCTATTTGCATATTAGCCTTTTATTATATAGGATACTTATAGACCATGAAGGAGGGCTTTATTATATTACTAGAGGTCTGGTGCACTGATTCAGTCTGGCCTGCAGTCATTCCCTGAGGGTTATACCCCACTGGTGCATGATGGGGGCCAGGGAGGGACCAAGGGATGGTCCCAGGGTGTGTCCGGCCCATCTCACTCAGTCCTGATTGGCCAGACAGGAACAAGCTAAACTACCAGTTGAAGCATCTGCCCCCTGGTGGTCAGTGCTCGTCATAGCGACCGGTTGAATGAATGGTCAGATACTTAGCATATTAGGCTTTTACTATATAGCATGTGCTAATGAGGTATTTAAGACTTTTAACTATTCCTTTGAATGCTTGCCATTATTCTAGGAAAATTGTAATGACTTTCATTCATGCTCTGTATTTTAAATGTTTCTCAAGGCCAACCCCAGATGAATTAATGCAGGACAAGGTGTTCAGTGAAGTGTCACCTTTATACACCCCATTTACGAAACCTGTCGGTTTGTTTTCCTCTTCTCTGAGATGTGCTGATTTAACTCTGCCTGAGGATATCAATCAGCTGTGTAAAGGTAATGATACATAAGACGTAAGCAATAATATAAACCTTGTTTTTAAAGTGAGTATCCATATCCTAGTTTTGAATGTATCAACAATATATATAATATATTAGTGAGACTTTATGGACACTTATCTTAAAATTAAGAGGTAACTCCAGGCATGTTTAACATAGCATTTTATATAACTAACCTAACTTATAATCCTTTCCATTCAAATTATTTTTGAGCAAGAACTTTAAGAATCAAGGAGAGGATGTGGCACCACACAAAAATTTACTATGCAAAACCAAGTCCCATTTTCATCTCAAATCTTTATACTACAATTGGGTCTTCTAATTCCCAATGGAATTTTCACTACATCTACATTTATATATTATACTATAGGTCTGGTGCACAGATTCACGCACCAGTGGGGTCCCTCGGCCTGGCCTGTGCTCTCTTGAAATCCGGGACCTCTTATGAGATGTCAGATAGCTGGTTTTTATCCCGATCCCTACAGGCCTGATCCAGGCACAAGGGAGCCCGACCCCCGGCAGGCCCTATCCAGACAGGAAGGGGCCCAATCCTATGCATTGAGCGTCTGTCCCCTGGTGGTCAGTACACGTCATAGCGACCAGTCGACAAGTTATTCGATTGTTTGGTCACTTAGGCTTTTATATATATAGATAATGTTTTATAAATGATCTCTGAAAATTGTATTGTTGATAGAACATTCATACTATTATACTTAACATTTTAAGAGAATATCAGCTTTTGTCTTTTTATCTCTGTTATAATTACACATCTCAGAATGTGTGCTTTGGTGACACTAGTAAGTTATTCTTACTAGTATACTGGAAGGTTATCATGAAATAAGTCATAGCAAGAAATAGTTACTAACCATCATTCAATTAAATATTTATTAAGTTCCTACTTTGTTTCACACACTGTACCTTCAAGTAACGTTAATGCCAAATGGTGAGTCAGACAGACATTTAGTCACATAATTATGATTACAAATGAAGGTTTATATGAACATAGCAGAATGGAAGCATAGCCTGCATGAGATATCAAGAAACACTTCTCCAAAGAAGCAGCAATTGACTCAAGACATGAAAGATACAGTAGTTTGTGTTGTTTGCCTACTCTATGTTTTTTTCTGCCCTTAATCCTTTCACATAGAATCCAATATCTTAGATATACCCGATATATCTATGAGCCAGAGGGTAAAATTCCACTTTTTCTCAAGAAACTACATCTACATTTCATATTCTGTGCATTTTATAGTATGTATATTCTTAAGAATATCTTACTATGCTTTTAAGTTTTTAATGTTTTAAAATGTCAGCTATTATTGTCTGTTGCCTTTTATTAAAAACAAAAAGTGAGATAACTGTGATTGTCTTTAATTTACCATTAATAGATATAAGCAGTGATTACCTGGCAGAAAGATCAATTGAGGAAGTGTATTACCTTTGGTGTTTAGCTGGAGGTGACTTGGAGAAAGAGCTTGTGAACAAGGAAATTATTCGACCCAAACCACCTATCTGCACACTCCCCAAGTAAGAAAAGATAAATGATGAAAATAAAAAAAAGTAGTAATAAATTTTTAAAAACAATTTTGATAGCCATTCCAACTAAGTGTTTATCACAGCTATTGGAAGTTAGTAACTTACTTTTTTCAATGAAGTGTCTATTAAGTTCCCATCAATATTTTTATTATTTTTAATAAATACATATATATTTTTTAAAACACCTGTGATCATGATGCCATAACAGCATCACGACCACAGGCCTTTTTTTTTTTTTTAATTGATTTTTTACAAGAGGAATGGAAAAGAATAAAGAGTTAGAAACATCGATGAGAGAGAAACATTGATCAGTTGCCTCCTATACACCCCCTACCGGGGATGTATGGACAACAAAGGTATTTGCCCTTGACTGGAATTGAACCTGGGACCCTTCAGTCTGCAGGCCGATGCTCTATCCACTGAGTCAAACCAGATCAGGTGAACTGGTTTTTTTTTGTTTTGTTTTTTTTTCACAAGTAATATGCTTATCCTCCATTTGAAGTTATTATTATAGAATACCTTGTAATAATTGATGTTCAATAAATGAAAAAGGTACCAGTCAGAAAGAACAGTAATATTCAAGAATTAATCAACTAACATGCTTATTATGAGAAACTATTTTCTATTACCAATTATAAATCGTACATGTAAAGGTACTTGCTTGCCTTAGAGATTATTAAGGTGCTAAATCAGTGTTGAGAAAAATCTGCACAACTGCACAAGATCCTGGACACCATTCTGTAAGTTAGACTGAATACAATCTAATAACATAACAATCTACAAATAACAATACAACCCGGAGGGCCAAGGTTATTGCTGTTTCCTTGCTCTTAACATTTATTCATTTAGATAAGAATCTGAATCTCTAGAGTTTCCACCAATGCTCTATCTAACATTTTAATTTTAGATTTTTGGACTATATTTTGTCATTGTAGGTTATTGTAGAAATCACCTACTGATCATTTCTTTTCCTCACATGTTAAATTTTAGGTTAATTATTTGAATAGACCATTGATTCTCTACTTTTTTTCTCTCTTAAACTAATTTTAAATATTAACTTCAATTATACTGCCCACATTGAATTAGGTAGAAATTAAGAAATAAAATAAGAGAAATTCTAAGAATAAGTACTTTAAAGGGTATATAAATTCTCCAAAGTAATTTTCTAATATTCTAAACAAATTTCATACACTTATTATTCTATATTCTTTCCCCTGTGAAATCACGATCATTATGTAAGGTTTTTCTTTTTTCTCACTTTATCATTCTTCACTTATATATACTTTCTCAAGATCACATTTGAGTAGCAAAGTAATTTTCGTATTGAACCTAACTTAAATAGTGTAAGTCACACTCTGATATTGCTAAAATGCTTTATTTTTATATACTATATTCAAGCTTACTGAACACATTTTAAAATTAGTTGTTTAGAGAATTTTCAAATAGCAGTTGTATTTTTTTGTAAACCCATTAAATCTAAAATTTCTTTCATGAAAGGATTCATGATTTAGAATAAAATTTCTTTTGTAGAAGAAACACTAAGTTGGATTTTGTGTATTCATTAAAATAATAATTTTTTAAAATTTCTTCTAGTTTTCTCTTTGAAGATGGTGAAAGCTTTGGACAAGGTCGAGATAGAAGCTCACTATTGGATGACACTACTGTGACATTGTCACTATGCCAGCTAAGAAATGTAAGATTGTTATTTTTTTTTTTTTAAAGAGAGTCTCTTTAGTGTATGAGGCCATGTACAATGATATTGGAAATGCATCTGTACATCTTCAGCTTTAGTATATATATTGTCTCACTGCTTAAAAGGTGATTTTGTTTACCTTTTTACCATCATAAGAGTTCTCATTTCTCCACATATTTGGTAACACATAGTATCAAATTTTTTAAAATTATTGCTCCAAAAGGAGCAGAATGGTATTTTACTACAATACTAATGTTTAATTCCATGATTATAGTATAGATATGAGTTCTTTCATGTTTTTTGACTGTTTGCTTACCTCTTCTATGTGTGACTGATTCATCTTTTGCCAATTTTTTTTATTGAGTCATTTCTTACTGAGTTGAGGACTTTTAAAATGTATTCCAAATACAGAGTCTTTGTTGGCTATATGTGGTGCAAATTTTTTTTAATCTCTGGCTTAAGTTTTTGAATAGTATCTTTTAATTAATTAGATTCTTTTATCAGTGTTTTATAGTTAACTATGTTTAATTGTTATATTTTATTTACTGTTACTTATTTAAAGTTATACCAAAGTTATCAATATTTTTGTATAATGTTCTATATTTTCTTCTAAAATATTTCAATAAAAATTTATTTGCAAAAACAAAAAATACAAAAATAAATAAAAATATTTTTCTGTAAATACTAGAAAAAATGTTAACATTGCTGATTTTTAAAGTAATTTGGAAACCAAAGAATAACTCTTACCTTATACTTTCTGTACAGATTTTTTTGCCCTTTTTTGCCTTTGATATGCTAAAATTTTAATTAATAAAAACAGCAGAAAATATATTTAAAAGTACTATTTATGCTTTAAAGGATAGTAAAACTCAAACTTTAAAAATTATATATTAATAATGCAGTGAAACTTGGGAAAATACTAGTTTTCTACTTAGAATTTTAATCTGTGAAAGAAATACCTAAGGATTTAAAAGCAAAATAGGATAAGTGCATATATGGCATGTCAAATTTTAAAGAGAAGCCACGCATAAAACCAGTGTTTGCCAGATTCTCAATGTTGAATGAAAGATTTTTCTTTGGCTTTTAAAAATTCTGGCAATAAGGCTAATGTAAGTGCATAAGGACTCTAATCAATAGGAGGTCAGGGCCAGCTGCACATAGAGCTTGTACCTCTGTGTCAATCCCATAGGAGCAGGCACTCTGTTTTCGGGTTGGAAGTTGCACTGAAGAGCATTGCAGCAGGCAAAGTAGCGATAACATTCATCACCCTCTTAAGATGTGTCTCATTTTACTACCCTGTGGCCTGTTTTTAAAGAATACCTATAATCCTGCATGTTATGTTATTATTAGAGAAACATTATTAGAATGACTTTTAAAAAAGATAATTAAGAGAATTGAACTCATTAATATTTGAATCATACATATTCAAAATATGTTGTGAAATTTTTTTGAATTTTATTTTATTAGTTTGTATTAATTACAAAGTAAAAATAAGTAAATTAAATTGAGTTTTAAATTAAGGGATTTATATTTTTAAAGTACTTTTAAAAATAACCTTCATGTATAATAATAAAAGCATAATATGCTAATTAGACCAGATGTCCTGTCCTTCTGGACAATCTTCCAGATGAAGCCGGGCTGTGAGAGAAGCTGGTCCCGGGTGCCTGCCAGCAGCCGGAGGGAAGCCCGGGTCCCGGGTGCCAGAGGGAAGCCAGTGCCAGCAGCCAGGAGAAGGAAGGCCTGCTCTTGCACAAATTTCATGCATCGGGCCTCTAGTATAATTCAAAACTATATTGTCCATGTATTAAATTTTATACTAATTTCAGAAATCCTGAATTGTGTTTGGGAAATATCATAGTAGATATCTTACACAAGAGACACCTGGAGTTAAAAATAATCAACATAAAAAAACTGTTCTTCAGAGCTCAACTTAATCACTAGGGGCATAATATATTTGTATATTTATGATAGGAATGGATTTTAAATTTTATACTTTTCAGAACTTCCCACAAATTCATAAATGTTATATTATGTTGCTTTTTAAGTGCAGTTCAGCGTTTCTGTCTCAGAAACTCAAACATAGTATTTTCTCTTTTAACTCACAGAGATTAAAAGATGTTGGTGGAGAAGCATTTTACCCACTACTTGAAGATGAGTGAGTATATATTTGTCTTCTTTTACACTTAATATTCTTCACTGTTTATGTTAGATTGGTAACACACATATATGTTCAGTGAAGAGCATTTCCTAAATAAAACACTTAATATGGAGCTTTGTTTGTTTTAAATTTTATACTCTTTGTTTCTCTTTTACAGCCAGTCTAATTTACCTCATTCCAATAGCAGCAATGAGCTGTCTGCTGCTGCCACACTGCCTCTAATCATCCGGGAGAGGGACACCGAGTACCAGCTTAACAGGGTCATTCTCTTCGACAGGCTGCTCAAGGTAGGGGTTCTAATATGGAAAGTGTTCTAAGAGCCCACATACAATCCTTGTTTTTTGTTTCATTTGTAATTATTAGGGAATCTTGATGTCATGAGAAAACTAATTTTTATAGCTCATCTTTTCTGATTAACATTTAATTACAAAGCCGAAACCGGATTGGCTCAGTGGATAGAGCTTGGGTCTGCGGACTGAAGGGTCCCGGGTTCGATTCTGGTTAAGGGCATGTACCTTGGTTGCCGGCACATCCCTAGTGGGGGAGTGCAAGAGGCAGCTGATCGATGATTCTCTCTCATTGATGTTTCTAACTCTCTGTCCCTCTCTCTTCCTCTTTGTAAAAAATCAATAAGATATATTTAAAAAAAAAAACACATATAATTACAAAAATGATGCATGTTCATAGTAAAACTTAAAAGTAAAAACAAATGTAAAAAAGTAAAAATGATGTAGGATTATATGTAAAATCATATTAGATAATAGATTCATATCCATACTGTTTAAAGAACACTTAAAAATCTACAGGAAAAAGTACTAATATTGAAAGATAAAGAATATAATAGAAATGCAGCTAGTCAGTAAACCTATTAAAAATATTTATCCTCACTAGGAATGGAAAATTTTTATAGTTTTTTTTGATAACCAAATTAGTAAAGTGAATAAAGCATATTGAGATTGGACCTCTTATTCCTTTGGAATAAGTGTCAATTGAAACAGTGCATAAGGCAATTTGAAAGTATATATGAAGAGCCTTAAAAATGTCCATACCCTTTATCCTAATAATTCTTTTCTAGAACTCTCTCCTAAAGTACAAATTTATAAAGGGACAAATTTATATGCAAGGTTATAGAAGTAGCCATAATAATAACACATTTATTGAATACTTTCTATATGACCTGATATTTTACAAATATGCATAAATAATTTATATTTATATATATATGCATAAATTATTTAACCCATATGAAGCTGATAGTATTATTTACACATGACTCCTTGTTAATTTATATCACAAAATAGAAATAATTAAAAACAGTAGAATCAGTTCACCTCTTTGTTTGTATTATAGAAGATTTACAGAATATAGGGAATCATTCCACTGCCAACTTAATATCCTATATAATAAAAGCCTAATATTCCAAGTGTCCAGTCGTCCATACAACCAATCAAAGCGTAAAACGCTACTGATATGCTAAGGGTGCTCTGACGTGCACTGACCACAAGAGAGCAGACAGTCAACCGGTCGACCAGTCGCTATCATGTGCACTGGCCACCAGGGGGCAGATACTCCGACTGGTAGGTTAGCTTGCTGCTGGGGTTCAGCCCATCAGGACTGAGCAAGATGGGCCAGACATGCCATGGAGTCCTTCCGCTGTCCCTCCCTGGCTGGCCAACCTGTGTCCCTCCCCAGCCCTGATCATGCACTGATGGGGTCCCTTAGCCTGTCCCTTTCTCATTCTGGGCTGAGGGACATCCCCACCCTCCAAGTGCACAAATTTTGTACACCAGGCCTCTTAGTGTATTAATAATACCAACGTAATAACACCAGAGATACTTTGAAATTTATTTAAGATCTCTTTCAACTTTATCACTGACCTATATTCAGGACTTTCTAGACTAAAATATGCTATTTGATAATTTGAAACATTTTTCATATCTTTCTTTCATCTGTAGGCTTATCCATATAAAAAAAATCAAATCTGGAAAGAAGCAAGAGTTGACATTCCTCCACTAATGAGAGGTTTAACCTGGGCTGCTCTTCTGGGAGTTGAGGTAAGAAAGAAAAGAGAAAGTTAGAAGTTGGCTATAATGGTACTAAGGAAGAAGGAAGAAGTAGGAAAGAACTTCCCAAATACATATTTTTCAAACAGTTAGGAAGTTATGTAGTAAAATATAAACATTAAGAATATTTGGAAATTTTAAGTGAAAGGACTAAAGAAAAAGAATAGATTAGCAACATTTAATTGAAGATTTGTTAGATTTATATTATTTAATATTTCATTTAATGGAGCTCATAGAAATTATCTTGATTATTAATTTTTAAATCAGATTATTTTAAGACTATATATACCAGTTATAAGCATATTATCCTGCCTATAAAGTATGTTTATTTAGGAATAGGCTTGCGTATTTATAAATGGCTCTAAGTTTGGAGAAATCCTCCATCAATTTGAACCTTATAAAAAGTCATTAACAGCCGTAGGTGGTTTGGCTCAGTGTATAGAGCGTCAGCTTACAGACTGGAGGGTCCCTGATTTGATTCCAGTCAAAGACAAATGCTTAGGTTGCAAGCTCGATCCCCAGTAGGGGACGTGCAAGAGGCAGCCGATCAATGATTCTCTCTCATTATAGATGTTTCTATCTCAATCTCCGTCTCCCTTCCTCTCTGAAATAAATAAAAATATATGTATTTTTAACATAATTTAGTACTTTTTTGGCACATCTATCCCACAAGAACTATGTAGCCAAGACAAACTACTTTGTCTTGTATAAAACCTAATCTGTTGGCAGTGAGGAAAGGAGAAGTGTGACAAAACTATTACAGTAACTTACAGTACTACCAGAGAACTCTGGTAACAGCAGTCATGATAAGGGGCCACATTCTTGCCCCATTTTTTTTTGTTGTTGTTTTTTTCCCCCAGACAATTTCTTTGTCATTCTGCCTTCAGATATTCTCTTATCAATGTCTTATGAATAGCCAATCATGCATTTTTTTCCTGAATTCCCTCAGCTATTTTTAATTCTTTTCAACTCCCTGTTAAAAGAACTTTATTTATTCCTGATTCTTTTCATGAGATTCTACAAACATCTTTGAGTTTGAGTGGTTGCTTTACAAGAATGCCTATTGTTCCATATAATACATTAATAGGGAGAATTGTAGAGCCACATAATGGTAAAGTTCAAGAGGACTTTTGAGGTCAGGTTATCCATCTGTCATTAAATAGGCGTACCATAGTAGTTGATGTACCAGCAAGTAATGTCATAATTTTTGAACCCCAAATTAGAGGTTCTTTCTACACCATTACAGTAAACCTAAGTTTTAAGAATTGTTCCATTTTTGGTCCTATTGAACACGACTAAATTTGAAATGGTTTATTCAGTTATTTCTTCTATACCAGTATAACTAAAAAGTGTAAATGATCCATTTAATCCCTTAGTGATTCCATACCTATGTGATGTTCTACTCTTAAATTTATTTCAAACTTCTGCTTCCTGTGCTGAACTAGCATTCCTTTCAACAGGTCCATTTTATTTGCCTTTATTACCAACGTAAACAGGAAAATTTCTTGTGGGATGGCCTCCTGTGCTTCCTTCCCCCCCAAATTGAGGATGTTTGAAGTAACAATGAGTAGAGAGTAACAAGGCTGTTTTGTGCTGTGGAGGCTAGGGTGTGTGACTAAGTGTGTTCATTTGCTACTTGACTCATCCAACACTTTCGTCTTTTGGAACAAAATGGCCAAGTTGTCCAGATTTTCATCACAGATTACCAAAACTGTAGAGAATTTTTCCAAGAGGTATATTTTGGTTTTTAATGTTCCCATCTATAATTGGGTGGGTTTTCAAAGAAAGATGTTTATAAAAAGTATATTTATATACATTAATAATTTATCAAGGATATGATAAATTAATATTATTCTCTTTTTATTTTTTTCAGGGGGCCATTCATGCCAAGTATGATGCAATTGATAAAGATACTCCAATTCCTACAGATAGACAAGTATGACTTAGATTTTCTTAAACAATCTAAGATAATTTTGCCAAATCTTTAAATTATAGAAAGGCAAGAGGGAATTTTCTTCTATTCATTATGCTCAGCAGCCATCATATTCATATGCTGTTTGAGTAAGCATAATTTTTCTATCAGAAGTTAGAATTAGAACTATCCCTAAAAGGACTATAGGCCAAGTGATTTTTTTTTAGTAATTGCACTCTTTTATCTATAGAATTTGCCCTTTATTTAGACAAGGTTGTAAAGGAAGATTTTTTTTCAAAAGAAATGGTCTGTTTTTCTTAAGTGCACAACCTTTGTATTGTTTCCAGAGTGTTAACATAAAATTCAAATACTTTAGATGCCAGGATTATGCAATTGATCTATTATGAAATTTATAATAAAAAAATTTTCTTTACCTTGGGGTTTATTGGAAATCACAGCCCCATCTTACTGTTTTGCTATTTTACAGATTGAAGTGGATATTCCTCGTTGCCATCAGTATGATGAACTGTTATCATCACCAGAAGGTCATGCAAAATTTAGGCGTGTATTAAAAGCCTGGGTAGTATCCCATCCCGATCTTGTATATTGGCAAGGTAACTTTTTCCCCCAATTATTAAGGCTCTTTTTGAAGTATAGGGAGCATATTGCATGACTGACTGTTTAAAAATTAAAATAATCAAAACATCCTTGGCTTTGAGAAAAGTCAATACTAAAGCTATGATCCATTTATTGAAAGGTTTATGTGAGAACTTTTTAAAAAAAACATTGCCTAAATGCCAAGTAGAGATCATTTAAAGGCCTGATATTTAGTGAGACAGTTTGCCATCATGTTAATTAGGAAAGTAGAAAGAACATTTTGTGTGATTGTAATCTTTGTGGATACATTGTCTCAGTATATGAAAATAATCAAATAATTTTATAGCATGAATAGTTTGGGGCTAGTTGATATTTTACCATTTATTTACTTACAATTTATGCTTAACCTATTTATTGGAAATTAGGAAATAGGATACCAAATAAACTATTTTGTTATCTCTTTAAAAAAAACATCTTTAATGTTCAATATCCTTGATTCTTACCATTCTCATTATTATTTTTTATGGTCATTGATAAATTCATGCATGAGAAATCTGTTTTACCCAGTCTTATATTTGAATTTATTGTAATGGACAGTGTTGTTATTTTATTTAACATTTAAATTCTCTATTTCTAGCCGAACTTAAAATTAAGATATTATTTTTCTAAGCTCTTTCCATTTTAGAGGAGTTCTGTGTCTTCCGAACAATTATAGATAGATTTATGCAGTCTGTCAGTGTGACAGCATATGAACAGCATTAGTACCAATAAAAGGAATATGTCACATATTTGTATTTCACTGCACAATTTTTAAAGGGTCTTTTTTCGTGATACCAGAGAAACATATAAGACAAATCTCCTCTAAGATGAGGAAATATGCCTGGAGATGTTAAGTCATTGCCAAGAACACACAGGGTCAGAAATGGGACTATTTACCAAGCCTTCTATCATCTTTACATTTTGCTATTAATATATTTCTCTCTTAGATTCATAATAATATTGATAATAATAAAATCTGATTTTTATTGGGCACATATTATGTGCTAGTCATTATCGGTTACTCCCCACAGTAACCCATAGATAATATATTTCTTGATGAATAGTACTTACAATGTTTAATCTATAAAGAGGTAATGCAGAGAACTGAATAAGGAATATATCTACAGTTCTACTTAATTGTGTTTATTTGAATTCTTTTCTTCAACCCCTCTCCATCAGGTCTTGACTCACTTTGTGCTCCATTCCTATATTTAAATTTCAATAATGAAGGTAAGCTTATTTATCAAATAAATAATTGTGGTGCATATTATTCTAAAATACTTTATTCAAACAATGAAAGGTTTTTGTTTTCATTGTAAGGATCTTGTTTGCTTTCTAGGAGATAGTATAAATATCTGTGAGATAATCCGTTGTATAATTTTAGAGGATGTGAAGAATTTATTATTGGAGAGTTTCTGTTGTGACCCGGCAGTGACTAGAGATTTTGAAAGACTCTGACTAATTATTCTTAAAAAATTAATCTACTTTGGCAACCATTTTTATAAACATAAGAGAAAATTTTTACTTCTTTAGAGATTAGATTTAGTCTATATATATTTCCTAAACCGTTTATAAAGGAATTCATATTAATCTTATATCTCCAAAGCCTATTATTTCAACCACTATCTTCTTACTGAAAACTTTTCTCATTCTCCCTCTTAAACCCAGCCCTTTGTATTTCAGGAAAGTATTTGTGTATGTTTTGTGTTATAGTTACTTATTACTATTATAGTAATCCTTTTTTTGGTTTGCAGCTTTTAAAAAATTATCAGTGATTGATTTTAGAGGGTCAGACAGACATCAATTTCTTGTTCCACCTATTTATGCATTTATTGATTACTTCCTGTATGTTCCAGACTGGGGATGGAACCCACAACCTTGGCATATGGGATGACACTGCAACTAACTGAGCTGCCCAACCAGGGCAGCAGCACCTTTGTTTAATGATTGAAATTTTTTTCTGTTTTTTATTCCCCAGTTATAATGCCTTTATTATAGTAGATTTTTCAGTAAATATTTGTTATACTTAATGGACTCAAATCTGTAATGATATCATCACATATAGAACGTATTTATCATATATATAATGTAACTCTCTAGAAACCTCATCCTCGAAATCTTTGTTTTTTCGAAATCTATTTCATGTCAAATTTTGCATAGGTTATTGGAAATAAGTAGAGATAGCATAATCCAAGAGAACTAAAATTTTATAATTTTAATTGATTTAAGAATGCACTATTCTGTGACATTTCTCATTATCTAGACTACAAGTTTGTTATGTTTAGTTAGGCATAGGCCATTATTACATATATTGCTCTAAGAATAATAAGCAATCTGTGTTTGAAAAAATAATTTATGACTAGGATTCCTAAATCCAAGTTCTGAGGCTTTTTTTTATTTGCATCAACAAAAAATAATTTGTTGATTTGTATAGCTCATTAATAATGGCCATGATTAGATATTTTTAAAATTTGTAATGTTCTGATAATAAAGGTTTTTATTATTGTGGGATAACAATTTCTATAGTAGTTTGAAATTGAAAAGTTACTAGGTGGTTATCTTTTGTTGTCCAAATTATTTTCTGTTTTAAAGAGCAATTTTTTTCCCTTTAAATTTGTGTTTCCATCAATTATTAGCATAAACTTATTTAATAGTAGTTAAATAATTTGTTGTATGCATTTGCCTTATTCTTTCTTAGCCTTGGCATATGCGTGTATGTCTGCTTTTATTCCCAAATACCTGTATAACTTCTTCTTGAAAGACAACTCACATGTAATACAAGGTAAGCATTAAATGTCTTTTCTTCTTTTTAAGGGAATATATTATGTCCTGTAACCAATACTCTGTTAAATGTATGATTTTGACACAATAAAATAGGTTGATAATGCCCACTAAAAGCAGTGAAGAGAACTTAAGTTTAGTCTTTATTCCAAGCTCAATTAGGGTTGTTGTTTTTTTCCAATGACTGTTCAATATCTGATCTCAGTTCAGTTCACATTTAGGCATGCTAGTTATAGAAAATAAAAGTCTTGCTATTTTTCTCTCTTACAATTAAAATTCCCCATAAAAATTTTCACCATGAACCAAGCTTATTATGAATTAGTAAAAAGGTAAAACAGTATTTAATTATGTAAATAAAGAGAATATTAAAAACACTTCTCATTCATCTCATTCCCCATGCTTGCAGGTCCAAAATATTCTTCTCCTGTCTTCTACTTTCTTAAAATACACACCTTTCTTCAGAGTTCAAGTCATAGCGTAACCCACTGTGCATTCTTACTTGACTATGCTCGCTAGCCACAGTCAAACTTTTAATATAATTCTTTGAACTCCTTTTTGGTACAATGTAACCAAAGTTAATAATAAATGCTTTTGAATCGGGCAACTTTGTTTAAGATGTAAGTTGGGTTAATTATTTTGTAATCTTGGACAAATAACGTATGTTTGCTATGTATAATTTTCCTAATATCTAAAATAAAGGTTCTTGTAAAGGTAAAACATAAAATATGTCAATGCATGGTACATAGAAACTTTCGATAACACTAATGACTTTTATTTTGTTTTTACTATTGTTACTATTATTTTACTGCTATTGTTATTAAAATTATTTTGCTAATATTATTATGATATATGTCATGTCTTATCTTTAAATAAGAATCTAAATGTTTTAAGGGCAGAAATTTTTCGTATACTTTTGTATTTCCTTTGGGACTGACTACAAAACTGGTCACATAGTTTTCCCATTTACTAATTGTATGCTACTTTTCAGATACTGCCGTCATTTATACATTATTTATAATGTATGTCATAAATTCAACTACATTTCAATACTTTAAACTATTGCTTTGTTTTATTTATATTTATATAATTATGGTTTGATATAACTTAGTTTGAATATATGAAGCAGCAAATACAGGCTATGTGTGCAATTCAACATTCTCAATAAGTGGGATCTCAGAAATATTTTCACTTGTTTAGCATGAGTATAAAGTTAGAGTATCAGAAATAAATACAATGAGAAAATAACTAGAAAGGCAGTAAAAATGGAAATGTAAATTAAATAGATAAAGAGGCTAAAAATAGAAGGAAGAAAAGAATATGGATAAATAGTGCAGCACATAAAAACATTTTCTAGCATCATTTACCTTGAGTATAGAGAAAAATAATTTAATTTTTTTTTATTTTTATATTTTATTGATTTTCTTACAGAGAGGAAGGGAGAGAGAGTGAGAGCTAGAAAGGTCGATGAGAGAGAAACATCGACCAGCTGCCTCTTGCACATCCCCTATTGGGGATGTGCCCACAACCAATATACATGCCCTTGACCGGAATCGAACCTGGGACCTTTCAGTCCGCAGACCGACGCTCTACCCCTGAGCCTAGCCGGTTTTGGCAATAACTTAAATTTTTATAAAATATTGTTTGTGTTTATAAGCACACCAAGTCATGTTCAGTGTTCTGTATCTACAATATAGATAGGTACTAAAATTGGTATAATGACCCAGCGTCTCTCTTTTAATTTTGAAATGCAAATTCTATTGATTTATATTTGTATTTAGAAATGTTTTGAAATGGATATGCCTAATACCCTGCATGTTCCTAGAATGTGGACTTGTATAAAGTTGGGATTAATTTAAGGATGTCTTTTAGAGAGCAACAAGATTTTGCTTTGATTTTTTTTATAATTAAAGATAATGTATATTTTGGGGGGAGAAAGTTGTTTTTTTCTTGTAGGTTAGTTTAGTAAAGCCATTCAATTTCAGGAGTCATGCAGTGTTATCTTCTAAAAATTTATGAAGTGATGTACTTTAAGAGCATGGCTTATATCTTACTAATAGGTATGTAATCCACATTTATTCATACTTGCCTTATTATGCTTATCAGTGATATTTATTTTGCAATGGACAATGTTCTCTGAAAGATTCCAGCCATTCCTGTCTAAAGAAGCTTTCAATGAAGGCCCAAGTTCTGGTAGGGTTTCTCTTGTAGACTGGGGACCCCATGGTCAATTGGTATCACCACAAGCCTGGCAGTTAGAGATCTTTTCAAATCCCCCATTAGACTATAAGTAAGGAAGCACAAAGGAGCACCAGAAACCTGGGGTGCACTGGCCAAATGAGAACTGAGGGTTCATGGCCTCGTTCAGTTCCTTCCTGCACAATGTAGAATAGTTGGTTATAATTGGACACCAGAAGGCTATTGCATGAAGTCTACCCTGCAGCACTCTGTGTTCACATGATACACTTTTATTGTATTCCCTACCTCCTGCTTCTGCCATCCCAGAATACTCTTGAGTGAAATGTCAGTGTAACTATTGTACGATATTAGAGATTTTGCAATAAATTATTTATGCTGGTAGAAAAAAAAAAAAGAGAGAGTAGATTTAAAGCACCTTGGATGATACCAGAGGCAATATGCAATGTAAATAATTTGTCAAATAGTGACTGAAGACAAACTGAAAGCACTAAAGGTAAAAAGTAATCACATTAGTAGTTGTGCAACAAAAAAGGTGATTCTTTAATCATCAGTTAAACGTAAGTCAGCAATAGAATGCTGTTATTTTTAAAGTTAATGTGAACTTGTAATATTAGCTGAACTTTCTCATATAAAAGCCTGGAAATAATATTTTTTTCAAATTTGTCAGGCCCCTATTAGAGCATAGTGCCTAGGATTTCTATACTTTAAGAGAGATGAAGCCATTTGGAGAACCTTCAAAAACCAATTAAAACAGAATTAATAAAATGAATTATTTATAGTGTTTATTAGATGGCTGGATAATATCTGGATGACCAGTTTTCAAGGGTCATATGAGATAGTTTCCATTACAGTAATTATTATTTTGGCTCTGTATAGATGCCTATTTTAAAATACAGAAATTGCCTTAGCCAGTTTGGCTCAGTGGCTAGAGTGTTGGCCTGTAGACTGAAGGGCCCCAAGTTGGATTCTGGTCAAGGACACATGTCCTGTTGCTGGCTGAATCCCCAGTAGAGGCGTGCAGGAGGCAGCTTATTAATGATTCTTTCTTATCACTGATGTTTCTATCTTCACTCCCCTTCCTCTCTAAAATCAATAAAATTTATCTTAAAAAATAAATAAATAATAAAATACAGAAATTATTTATCTTTGAGAGGTTTAATTTTTCCCATAATTGTTTCACATTGCAGATCAATGTGTTTATTATCTAATCATAATGAATTTTCAACACAAAAAAAGTTTTCACACTTGTTTAACTATAGATTTTGTTAGTATATTGTTAAAAGGCTTATTATGCAAATAAGACAAGATCTTATTTAATATATGAAAATGCAAGAGAAACCATATTGTACACCATATGAATTTGGAGAGACTGATGAGAAAGGCCAAAAAAAACTTTTTTAAATTTGATTCATTAATCAGTGATGTACTTTAAAAGTTCAATATTATGATAAAGACCTCTTTATAAATTATTAAGTATTAATACTTTTACCAGTTATAATTTGTATAAATTTGTGTTAAAATCTTGAATTGGTAGTTAATTTTGAAACTTTTTACAGCCACAATAAATGTTCTCTAACATTATGAAAAATTTAGCATATATATTTTCAAAAAAAATAATAGACATAGTATTTTAAATCATTTGTTCTGTTTTTTATATTGACTCTGTATGTTGACTCTGTGTGTGTGTGTATACAGATTATATATATATATATATATATATATATAAAATATTACATAAGAAAAAGCATAGTTTCAGTGACTTTAATCTTTTAATAAATAATTGCCCTGTACTGACTCTATGCCAGGCACTGCTTAAGGAATTGAGGTTCTTAAGGTAAATAATATTTAATCCTTTCCCAAGAGATTTCATAGCACAAAATGGGAAATAAATGTGAACATAATTAATTTTAAGTAATGAGATAAGTGTACATATTATTGTATTAGAACAGAGGAAGAGGAGATGTTATTTTGATTTCTTTTACCTTTTTTTTTTTTTTTTGGTCCCAAAGACTGGAAAGTTTTATAAAAGAGAGGATACTTATTAGTGAATTTGAAATTTGAGTAGGAATTTGGTGAAAAGGGAGAAGGACATTCTTTATAAAAAGAACAAGGAAGAACATTGCAATAAAAACATGAAAATGAGCCAATAGTCAAATCTGATACATGGAGTTGGAAAGACAGGGATGGAGAGCAAAAGAAGGAGCTGAAACCGTACACTGATTATTGGTTACTAAAGTTTATGGAAAAATAGTGGTTTATTTTCCTACAAAATGTCTATTTTAGGCTTGAGGTTAGAAATATTCGAATCTCATTTTATTGGTTTCCCTCTTTGTCCTTCCCCACCATTTTGTTTTATGGTGTTTTAAGGTTTAAACTTTAAAGTAGCATTGATTTTGTTTGACATAAATATCACATGAACCCTTTTCTCCCACAACTTTTGGAAAGTTTGCATGTCATATGAAACTGATTAATGGCTGATTGTAGAATTGCATATTTATTTAGGCATCTCTACAGAAATCAAAAGTTTCTGTATTCAGTAACAACTTTAAATATTTTATTTAAAGTTTTTCATATAATATATACAATTTGCATATTTATAGGACCATAGAATGCTTTGCATCTTTTGATGAGAGAAAATTTATTTATTCAAGATATCCTGGGTTTTCTGTTGTTGTTGTTGTTGTTGTTAACCATAGTGTTATTTACTGTTTACCTGCAGACATTTTTAAGAAGATAATAAATTTAGTTACTTCTGGCCTAAATTAATATTCATCATTCTAAGCACTATCAAGTTTTCTCCTGCATGTTGCTTTCGAGTTGATGAAATAGCAACACACAGTACTTTAAAATTTAATGTACTAATTTAACAACTCAGAGTTTTGGCCTCTGTTATCTAACATTACTAAAATTATTCTAAGTTATAGAGCCTTAGAGTGGATGTAAAAGATGGTACTTGAAAGAGATATATTGAATATAGTTTTAGAAATATTGAAAAATAGGCTTATAACTTGCAGGACACACATACTTTCTGCCATTGAAGAAAAAAATATCAGCTTTAGGCAAGTGAATAAAGAGGCAGACATTTAGCTATTAGTATTGGGAATAAATCCTTTGTGGAAAACCCAACTATACTTTAATGTCATTTTGCACTTAAGAAAGGAGCAACCTAGAAAACTATTCTATAAAACTTTTACGCTGTTCTTTGAAGTCATTATACTAGGTTTTGTTCCCAAAAACAATAATAGGGATTTTGGCACAACATTAAACATGTTCTTGTACTGTTTATAAAACCAAGGCATATTCACATTTGGAGCATTGTAAGATGAGGTGGCTATGAGTCAGAAAAGCAAAGATGGAGGGAGATACTATATAAAGTCAGGACAGAAAAGATGGAGGGGGATACCATATAAACCTGGGAAAGAAAATTGGGTGAATATTTCTCTAATCTTTTGTTTACCTGCATGTCTTTTTAAATCCTTTGAAGGCAAGGGCAGTATCTTTTTCTTTGTGATGTTCCATTAGTCCCACCCATAGCTGGGATGACTATAAACCTAAGCTGTTACATTTTTTAGAGTTAAAAGGGCACTGAGTATACTAGTCATTGAGTCTACGCGTGGCAATTGAGACTTTCCCAGGTAAACGAGGATGTCACACTACATTCAGCAAGTCTATGAGGAAAAAGGAGGAAAGAGGACAGATGTCAAAGTCTAGTGGTCAAATGTGACATTAAAACTTCTTTCTCATCAAACAATAACAAAGAGAGAGGGGAAATATGCAACTTGATTATAAAGGTTATGTATTCGGAAAAACAGTGACGTATATATTTACAGTTTAATGCACATCTTTGTCATGAATGACTTAATGATCTGATATTGGGGATATTAGGAAATAGTAGTGAATACATTGAGTGTTCAGCCTTGACATTTTCAAGAATGTCTTGCATCATGTCTTATCACCTCTTTGAAGCAAGACATTTTTCTGAATATAACGAGCCATGCTATAAATGATCTAAAGCCTGCCCCAAGCAACCAAAACTTATAACTGACATTTACATGCAACTTATTTTTATATATTAAATAATATATTACATATAATAATATAAAATAAATGTATACATGTACTTGTTTTAGATATTATTTATATCACAAGTATATTATAGACACATATATAAATGCAACCATTAATGTTTGGCAGAACATAAGTACAATGTTTTCATGATAAATTAGGTTTCTTCATTAAATCTTCAATTAGCCATGAGATGCCACATAGTACTTACCTTTATCAAGCTCAAAAAAGAATGGTATTTAGTAAATTAGATTAGTTATGGGAAATTGCCTCATCTGTGCTTTTTAAAAGATTACTAATTATATGGTTTCATCAACATGCAGTTGAGTTCTTATGATTGTTGATGTTGCATACCTCTGGGTTTTGTGTCAATTAGGACTAAAAATATACCATCACTAATTTGAAGAAGAAAAAAAAGTAGTTAAAGAACATTTAAATCCCAAAGTTTCCTGGGACCTTGGTAGCTGCCCTGGGTCTTTAATCTGGAACTCTTTAACCTGATTCAATTGTACTATTTTTTTCTCCTAAAGGAAAAGATGAGACAATGGATAGAGAAAAGAATTTTGTTGCAGTAAAATAAACATTCAATCATGAAAAAGTATTAATCTAAAGTATTAACCCATTTTTTATTTAGTACCCATGGGTAAAACTTCACATTAGATATAGAATTTAGCTTTATTGTGGTGTTTAATACAGTACTTACTCATCTTTTCTCTTTGGTTTTGGTACTTCTCTTTGTAAAACATGTGACAGTGCTTGTCTATCTGTCTACATATATCTATATATCTATATCTATATATCTATATCTATATATGGATATATAAAAAGAGATAATATGCAAATTACCCAGGATGCCATAACAGTCATGACTGGCTCAGGAGGAGGCCTCTCATGCAGATGGGTGGGAGGGGACTGCATGCCGCCCCCACAGAGCGGAGACACAACACAGGGGGGGGGCCATCCCCGCTGGGAGACAGCACACCAGCAGTCCTGCCTCTGCACATGAGTTGCAGAGGAAACCTTTTTTTACTGCTCATTGGCTAAGCTCCTTATATGCCACTGGCAGTGTTCTTAGAAACTTGGGTAATAAGAATCCAAGAAGGTGATCTAGCATTTTCCACATCACTTCTGGAGGAAAAAACAAAGATCCACTGCTGGAGAGGCTAAGAAATGCCATTTCCTGCCCTACTTGGTTTGGCTCAGTAGATAGAACCTAGGCCTGCGGACCACAGGGTCCTGGTTCAGTTCTGATCAAGGGCATGTACCTAGGTTGCAAGCTCCTCCCTGGCCGGGGCTCAGGTCAGGGAGCATGCAGGAGGCAACCAATCAAATTATCCCTCTCACATTGATGTTTCTCTCTGTCTTCCCCTCTCTCTTCCACGCTCTCTAAAAATCATTGTAAAAATAGCCTCCGGTAAGGATAAAAAAAAAGAAAGAAATGTCATATCCTATGAAAGAGACAACTTGAAAATGCCTAAAGAAAGTTGTCATTTTTTTCGTGGTGAAGGGACTAGAATCTGTGTTGATGAAAACATCTTGGCAGCTGCAGTGGCTGGCAGTGGCAGCAGCAGAAGGGTGATGGGGGTGGCATCTTCTCCTGATCAGCTGGTCGCTTCCCGCAGAGGGAGGCCAGACTGCAGCTTAGGCCCATTTCCTGGGGGAAATTCTTTACTGCGGAGGCCAGACTGAAGCTTAGGCCATCAGTAGGACTTCCCCTCAGGGCTCCTGGACTGTGAGAGAGGGCAGGCTGGGCTGAGGAGATCCCCTCCCCCTGCAGGTTGGGCTGAGGAACCCTGCCCCCCACCCAGTGTATGAATTTTATGCCCCAGGCCTCTAGTAGGTAAATAATCCTATATAATAAAGAGCTAATATGCAAATGGTTATCACTCCATCACACCTTAGCGTCTTAGACATTCAACACTGGGGAAAGAGGAATAGGGACTAGCTAGGTACAAATGAGCTCACAAGAGAGGAATGGAGACCAGCCAGGCTGTGGCTCTGGAGAGAGACAAGCTGCCCGCCCCCAGGTCCTGGGCGCCAGCGCCTGCGGCTGTGGCCGGAGAAGCTGCCCGCCTACAGTCCCTGTGTTTGCAGCTGGCCCAGGTGAAGCTGACCTGGGTCCTGGGTTCCTGCGGCTGGCCAGAGGGGAGGAAGCCCGGGTCCCAGGTGCCTGCAATGGCTGAAGGCGGGAATTCTGAGTCCCAGGTGTGGGGCAAGACAGAGGCAGTTAGGGGTGATCAGGCCATCAGTGGAGTAGTGAGGGGTGATCATGTAGGAAGAGGTGGTTAGGGGCCATCAGGCAGGCAGGTGAGCAGTTAGGAGCCAGCGGTTCTAGATTGCGAGAGGCAGTCAGATATCCCCAGAGGGGTCCCAGATTGGAGAGGGTGCAGACCTGGCTGAGTGATTCCCCTTCCTATGCACGAATTTCCTGCACCAAGCCTCTAGTTATAAAAATAATTAGAAGCAAAATTTTAATTGTGGAAAATAGAGGAAGGCTACTTGTACTAACAGATTGTCAGCAATTTTACACTAGTTCTTGAAACTTAAAAGTAAAGAACTTTAAAAACTAAAAGAGAATAGTAGATATTATATTAAGAGGTTATTTTCACCAAATAATTGGTTTGAAAACAGAAAGAAGGAGTTGAGGTTATTAATTAAGAAGAATCTTTCATTGGATTACTGTCATTTTTTAAATACATTTTACTTGTGTTTTGTTTTTAATATGTACAAAATGATTCTTACTTCCCCTTGAGTAGATTGTTACAAGTATATTGTTTAGTACATACTGAGTAAATTGGAATGATAGGAAATTGTTGAAAAAATGTAAAAAATAAGAAAATATTGCTTACAGTGTAACTGAACCCTATGAATTAGTATAGGATTAGAATCAACACTTACTTGTCTACTGTATTCCTATTTTCTTATTAGCATGATGTTAATTCTTATTTCTAAATATGCCAAATGTAGAATCTCAGGTGGACATAAATTAGAACTGGAACAAATGCCTATATCTGTATATATAAGCAAATTTGAGGCATAATTATTCTATTTGGGACTGCTTATTTTTCTGTTACACTTCCCAAACATAAAAGAAATTCAATTTAACATTACTAAGTTAAATGTATTTGTAGATATTAATAGGAAGACAGCATTCATCATGTGTATAATTTGTGATCTCTGAAGGTGAGCTATATCATAGATTGTTGATACATTTGTTTGGTGATTAGCAGTAACTGATTAAAGTGGTAACAAAACAAAATTATCTATTAAAGTATGTTTTATTCATGGAGAAATTTATGTTCATTCAAAATATTAATAAACTGTAATGTATACAAATTTGATGCTTTATTTGAGGTACTGGGTGAAAATGACGATTCTTAAATATGATTGTCATTTCAGAGTATTTGACTGTGTTCTCTCAGATGATTGCATTCCATGATCCAGAGCTGAGTAATCATCTCAATGAGATTGGATTCATTCCAGATGTAAGTACCTGGTGCATTATTAACATCAAGTCAAGATAAAGCAGAAATCGGAAGCATGAAAGAGAAATTGGCAGCATGAAAGAGTGCTGTTTTTAAAGTTTTTGTTGTCATTAGAAGTCCAATCTGAACAAGTTCCTGCTACTAATTACAGTCTTTTGTTATAAAGTCTGTGTGGTTACCTTCCAGGAACTTGAGATCTCTATCTCAAAAGGAATTTTTGAGGTTTTCAAAAACCTATGATATTGTAGTCTAACTTCCACTTAAACGAGGCTTGACTCCCTGTCACATACTACAAGTGAGTAATGGCTAAGCCATACCATTGCTACCCTTTGCAAGTCAACTCTGACTTTCAGCTTAATATGAACTATAGAGAAGTTAATGAACTAAGCCAAAATCTGGCAAAGTTCCCAAGGTAACATATCAAGCAAAACACAGAAGCTACTTAAGAATCCACTAAGTTCAGATTTCCTACTTCTACAAAACTGGGCCCAAGTCTCATAAAATCCAAGTGAAAACCCTTCAAAGCACAGTTTAACATAACACTAATACGTTTTTCAAACTATTTGATTTTATCCTATTTAAAAGCTAATAAATGAGCCTGTTACTGTTTAATGGATGTTGGTGAAAAACACAAGACTTCTGAGTCAGAGACAAAGGATTTGCACTGACAGCAGAGCAAGCGGTCTGAACATTCACATATCGATATTTCTGTTGGTTCCTCTACCAGCAGTCAGCAAACTGTGACTCTGTTGACTAATAAGTTTGCCGACCATTGCCCTAGCCCACAAATCCCATTGAGACAAAGTAAAGGGTCTAGGTCAGTGGTCAGCAAACTCATTAATCAACAGAGCCAAATATCAACAGTACAATGATTGAAATTTCTTTTGAGAGCCAATTTTTTTTAACTTAAACTTCTTCTAACGCTACTTCTTCAAAATAGACTCGCTGTGGTATTTTGTGGAAGAGCCACACTGAAGGGCCAAAGAGCCACATATAGCTTGTGAGCTGCAGTTTGCCGACCACTAGTCTAGGTAATACTTGCATATGCAGTGAATTACATTATAGGAGAGAAACTCTAAGTTTAGGGAATTTGAAATCTTAATTTCAAATTTCTCTCTGGAGAGAGAAAAACACTCTTTTTCTTCCAAGGGTATAAGCAAACTTGTCCTTTGCTGCAAAGGGAGATTCTGTTTCTGTTTTCCCAGGCTGTTCTTGTATACTCATATTTAAAAAGATAATCTGGTATTTCTCTTTCATTGATTGGCTTATTTCACTCAGCATGATGTTCTCCAATTCCATCCAGGTTGCTGCAAATGATGAGAATTCCTTCTTTTTTATGGCAGCATAGTATTCCATTGTGTAGATGTACCAAAGTTTTTGGATCCAATCATCCGCTGACGGACACCTAGGCTGTTTCCAAATTCTGGCTATTGTAGATTGTGCTGCTATGAACATAGGGGTGCAAATATCCTTTCTGATTGGTGTTTCTAGTTTCTTGGGGTATATTCCTAGAAGTGGGATTACTGGGTCAAATGGGAGTTCCATTTTTAGTTTTTTGAGGAAACTCCACACTGTTCTCCACAGTGGTTGCACCAGTCTGCATTCCCACCAGCAGTGCACGAGGGTTCCTTTTTCTCCACAACCTCGCCAACACTTGTTGTTTGTTGATTTGTTGATGTTGGCCATTCTGACAGGTGTGAGATGGTACCGCATTGTTGTTTTGATTTGCATCTCTCGGACAATTAGTGACTTTGAGCATGTTTTCATGAAATACCACATGACCTCACTCATTGGTGGACAATAAAGCTCTTTATGAACTGATGAACCAAGAAACAGAGATAGAGAAAGTAAAGCAACAGGCAGACTGTCAAATTACAGTGGGGAGGGGAGGAAGATCTGGGGGAGATAATAGATCAAACGAAGGACTTGTATACATGCATATAAGTACAACCAATGGTCATAAAACTCTGGATAGGGAGGGGATGGGTGGGAGGGAGGGAGGGGGGTAAAAAAATCAATAAAATATGTAAAAAAAATCAATAAAATATGAAGAAAAAATAAATAAATAAATAAATAAATAAATAAATAAATAAATAAATAAATAAAAAGATAATCTGGAATAAAGGACAGTCAGGGTCTCTGTTCACAAGGAATGCAGAAGTACAAGAATGCATATTAAAATGTTAATTGTATTCACTAGAAGAATAGAAAGAGAAAGTATAACATTTTTTATTGTTGATGCTATTACAGATGTTCCCCATTTCCCCTGCTTTGGCCTCCTTCATGGAGTGACCCCTCCTCTCTCCTCCCTCCTCCCCTCCCCCCCTCCCGCCTACCAGCAGCCTGTTGTCTGTGTCCATATATGTTCTGTGGCTAATCTTTTCCATTCCCCCCACCTTTTGCCCCTCTGAAAGCACATAACTTTTAAACTACTCAAAGGGGTATGAAACAAAGAAAAGTGAACCAATACTATAAAAAACTGAAAAAATATAGAAAGTATGTAAGGAATATTAGACTGCCTAATAAAAGACATTTTCAGATAGTTTATAAATCCATCTACTATCATAGATGTATCAGTTAATAATGTGGATTTTTTTCAATAGATGAAGTTACACATATGTTGATATATATGCAATTTTATATATATGCTATTTTATTATATTGACAGCAGGCTTCAAAACATCATATGTCAAATTTGCTAAAGGTGTTAACATCATAGATATTTTTAAGCTTAAAAATGTCTAATTTTATGTAAAAAAAGAGCATTTGCGGGAAGTTTTATTTCAATATTTTGAAGAAAAAGTTATTATATATTTCAGGAAGCTTATAGTGAACATGTTCCATCTCAAGATACTTGTGAATGCTGGTTTAAATGCTTTAAAAGTGGTTATTTTGATGTGAAAGACAAAGAATGTCCAGGTCAACCAAAAGCAGTTTGAAGACCAACAATTACAAGCATTTTTGGATGAAGATGTGTGTCAAACTCAAAAACAACTTGCAGAAAGATTGAACATTGCTCAGCAAACAATTTCCGGTCATTTACATGCAATGGGAAAGATTTTAAAGGAAGGAAAATGGATGCCACATCAACTGAACGAAAGACAAATGGAAAACCGAAAAGTCATCAGTAAAATATTGCTTCGATGACACGAAAGAAGTCTTTTTTGCATTGAATTGTGAAGGGCAATGAAAAGTGGATTTATTTTGAGATTCCCAAACTCATAAAATCATAGGTTGATCCAGGTCAACCGTCAACATCAACTGAAAGGTCAAATTGCTTTGGAAAAAATACAGTGCTCTGCATTTGGCGAGATCAGGAAGGTGTGATGTATTATGCGCTTTTAAAACCAAATGAAACCATTAATACTAATTGCCACCGACAACAAATAATCAGTTTGAACCACTCTTTGATGGTTAAATGACCAGAATGTGCCAGAAGACATTGCAAAGTAATTTTTCTTCATGATGATGCACCATCACACACTTCAATACCAGTTAAAAACACGTTAAAAGATCTTGCCTGGGAAGTATTAACCCACCCACTATATTCACCAGACCTTGCCCCTTCAGATTACTGCTGATCGATGGGACACACACTTTCTGAGCAGCACTTCAAAACGTATAAAGAAGTGGAAAATTGGGTCTGTGAATGGTTTGCCTCAAAATAAGAAAAGTTCTATTGGGACGGTATCCACAAATTCCCTGAAAGGTGGGGGAAATGTGTAGCTAGCGATGGACATTACTTTGAATAAAGCACCTTTGATATTTCTTTTGAAATTATTGTGTTTTCTTTGATTACAAAATCCACATTATTAACCGATACACCTCGTATGTGCTATTCATAAAAGATAAAAACAAAGACATTGGCCAAAAAGATAAGGAAAATATCAGGCAAATGGTAACCAAAAAAAATAAATAAATACTATGATATTAATATAAACCAGTAAAACAGAAAACAAAACACAAATAGACCCCCTAATATATAAAATTTTGTATGTGACACAGAGGGATCTATTAATCAATTAGAAAAGAAAGGACTATTGAATAAATAGCCCTGATAAAATTAGGTAGCTATTTGGAGAGGAAATGGGAATCAAAGCTCAACCCCACATCATATATAAAAATAAATTCTAGATTGACTGAAATACATGAATGTGGAATGCCATTTTTATAATTTCCATCTAGGTAGGAATTCTTGCAGAATTCGTACAAAGTACAACACATTTTGAAAAGAGAGAATTTCAATAGAAGAGTGGTACAAAGAAGCCTTCCATTCTATTGATAATATGTTACTTGATTTAAATTTTTTTTGAAGCTGTTGTGGCAAAACATTGTTAAATCTGGGTAGCTGAGTACAGTGAAGTTTGTTAGATGTGCATACATGGTGAGTTAATCATCTAATAATTTTCATAGAATATCATCATTCTTTTCATGCTTCCCTCTCTGCTATACATATTTGTATAACTTCTTATAAAAATGCTTCAATACCAGCATTGTTATGAAAATAATATTGATTTTAACATATAGTATGATTAATCATATGAGACATTACTAAGTCATGTGGGACAGGAGAATGTGGCAAATGCTGTGCTTTCCTGGGCCTCAGCCACTGATTGTCTATAGCACTCCCCTAACCATGTAACAATGAAATGCTTACACCTATTTCTGCAAAATGACTCTGCATGTATTTCCAAACACCCTGTAGGGAATGGTTCTGTCTCACTATTGAGAATTCTAGAATAAACAAAGAGAAATGAAGGGACAGAGTGTATATCTTAAGTTGGAGAAAATTCTCTCTTCTGCAACTATTCTCTTGTCAGAGAGAATGGGCAAATGAATGGTAGTTTAAAATGAACATTAAATTGTAATAGGAAGACTGTTTTTGAAATCTTTCATCCTGATTTCTGTTTGTTTTATTGAGTTTTGTTGTTCTGTTTCTTATCAGTAGATAATATGAAAATATTAAAACTATTTTTAAATTTAATTTTGAAAACAGACTT